ATATTTTAAAATCACGGGTAGTGCAATTTCGGTTTCTTTTACTCCTTCAATGGAGATTTTGAGGTTCACTGTGCTTTCTCAAGAGTACTAAAATGAGGGAGAAGCATATATACAATTGAGGATTGAGTGATAGTACTAAATTAACTTTAGTTCATCGTTAACCACAATAAATGAACTTTGTTTGCATGAGTATTATTCACAAACTATACTTCAAGATCCAAAATCTGAACCTGGTTTAGTATCAATTTCATTGTGCATTGATAGTTCATGGAAAAATGATAAGGACAAAAAAGAGGTTCGTTCATATTGTTGCTACCATTTCTGTAATTTTTTCCCAATCTAAGCTGCATTTATCTTACAGGGGATCTTGGTCAGAGTTTTGATTCAAATAGGACACTCACACATTATGAATTAAATCCAATCAAGGGGCAGACAGTGTTGTTTGTTGGCGACTTGTCTGCCGAAGATATGGGGAGAAAGAGAGAATCCGGAGAGAAAAGTGGAGAGAGGAGAGGAAAAAAGGAAAAGGGTGTAACTAAATCCCTTGATTAAAGGCACAAATAATGGATTGAGAACCTTTTAAGATGGAATATATATATTTTGTAAATAAAACTTGTATAGGTAGGGTAATTTACTAAACATGAACATTTAGGGTAATAAAGTTTCCAATAGTATATAGGAATGAAAAAATCCCGAAAGAAATTCATTTGTGCTAAGTTCTCAAAAATATGTGTGGGCACACTAGGCTGGATAAGATTAGGAATAAAGATATTCGGGAGAGGGTGGGCGTGGCTCCCATGGACGACAAGATACGGTAAGCGAGGCTTAGATGGTTCTGGCACGTGCGGAGGAGGAGCCTAGATGCCCCGGTTAGGAGGTGTGAACGGGGTTGACTTTGACCGGTACGAGAAGAGGTAGAGGGCGGCCTAAGACGTATTGGGCGAGGTGATTAGGCAGGACATGTCGCAACTTTAAATTTCCGAGGACATGGCCCTGGATAGGGAGGTGTGGAGGTCGAGCATTAGGGTTGTAGGTTAGGGGGTAGTTGAGCTTTTTTCCAGCTAGTCTGATAATGTTTTGTCCAGGACTGCTAGCGGTTTTTGTTCATCATACGATTTTTATTTCTAATTTTTATTTTTTTAATTGTATTATTAGCATAATTATTGTCCTTCCACTTATTTGTTGTCTCTTACAGTTTTGATACTATTTGTCTGGTTTCTGTTGTTGTTACGGATCTTTTGTCTCTGAGCCGAGGGTCCCCCAGAAACAGCCTCTCTACCCCTTAGGGGTAGGGGTAAGGTCTGCGTATACTCTACCTTCCCCAAACACCACTAATGAGATTATATTATTACTGGATTGATGTTGTTGTAAGCTTTCAAAAATAGCAAAATCCTCATTTGGCACCATTGTAAAGCAAACCAAACCTTCATCCACTTGTATAAATATGTTCATTGGCAACAACTCTACATCTGCATTAGTAAAATGGACAACTATTTTGAGATCATCATTAATCGTTCAATTCTCAGACTCGTAATATACCTTAAACAACCTATATAGATCGTCCTTCCTAGTAGCATTGATCGAAGCCGCTAACGTTGATTCCGATGAGTAAAATCGTTAGAAAGATACGTCAGCATCGAACCAGAATCATTTATAATATTTCCTTGATTATAATTGGAGTTTACTGAACAAGATAATTTGAATGGAAAAGTCTAATTCCCAATAGTGAAACTTTGCAAATTCAGATAGTAGCATACAGAGGCGGATTCAGAATTTTTACGTGACGGGGGCATATTATTCTGCTCAACCAGTGCCTCCTAAAGGCTTTTAGTGTTCAGGGTGCCAATTGTTTTAAATTAACCATTTACAAGGTATATATATATGTGTGTATATATATACAAGATTTCGGCCGAAATTTACGGAGTCCGGTAACCCTCGCCCATACACATGGGTCCGCCTGTATTGTTGCTTTTGTATCAAGGGAGTTAATGACGCTAGGGCCGGACAACATAGCATTGTCACTAAAATTAATGTGATTAGTCGCATTGGAATAATTAATTGATGATTCCAGTGGGATCAAACCGTAAGAGAATTTCCCAATACATTCTTGCGAAGACATTTGTATGCTAATATACACTTGGATTTTTTACATTGTAAATCATCTTTACCTATTGTAAAATGTAATTTATTTTATTTTTAAAATTATATTTTTATATTTTATGAAAGTTTACTTGTAAATTTGTTTAGATAACCGGATAATGTAAAAGAAAATTTACATTAACGATGTATATAACTTAAACCATAAACAGAGAAATTGTGTTATGTGTAGGATAAAGATGATTAGAGGAAATGAAAGATTTATATATTCCGAAATCCGAACATCTATTATTTGGGAGTTGTATAATTTTTCTTGAATTACTACTACTATTCTTAAATATTTCTTTCAAGACAATCATACAGCAAGACAAGAATGCACGACAAGGTGTAAATGGTAATCAATAAGCCCAAATTAGCCTGATGAAAACAAGCACGATACGCATTGGACCAGTCCGCCAAAAATATTTATATCCGCTAGTCAAATATACAAAAACATAAAATAATATATATATATATA